CACTGAGCCCTCACATGACACAAGCTAGTTCAGTTTTTCCACTTCTGGGTGCTTTGAAGCCAGTTCTGAACTTCTCCTATGGGTAAATCAAGATCTTTCAACTGGGGTAGCTGAGACATGGTCATCACTTCAATTCTCCTCACCATCATCAGCCTCACCCGTAATATCCATCCAGTTCCTTCAAGTCATTAGGAGAAGTTCTCCTCATGAGACATCATGTTTTCCACATCCTTCTCCACTCTTAAGACCCAATGATCGACCATTTGACACAACTCTGTCCAATTTGTGTCATCTCAACCTCAAATCATGGATCACTGATGCCACAGTGCTTTCCATGAAGAATTGAGGGTTCTATTGAGACTTCGCCATGATGACACAATCAATTTACAGCCTCCAGGACGTTGAATTGTGCTCTGGTTCTGCCTTGAAAAGTTGTTCAGGATCAATGGAAGGCCTGGATGACACTCCCAAACATTTTCTTCATGTACAACTTGAAGTTGCTGACTGTATTCTGTCCATTGGCCAAGGAGTGATGCAGCCTAGATAAAACAACACTTTCAAAGTCAAATTTATACTCCAAATTTCTGGCAAGGTCAGGTCAGACCAGGACATTATCTATGAGGAGTAAAGAGCCTTTATAGTAAAGTTTATTGGTGGTTAGTAGCTCTTGGACAGAGGGCAAAACACATCAATAGCCTATCTATTAAAGAACTGTCTTATCACCCATGCCCACGTGTTGACTTCCAATAAACTCCAAGCATTGTTCTTACCACTTTCGTTGCTTGAACACCTTGGGTTTTCAGAGTGGTAGACAAGCACAGGGTTTAGTCGAAATCCCTGAAGCATTGGCACCAAGCACAGAGTGAGACTTGTCTTTCAAGGTCGGTGCTCCAGGTAAAGAGGCTTCATCCTTGGTGATGAATGTTTTTGGGCATCTTTCCAGAACAGCCCAGTTTCATTAACATTACTGAAAAACTTGCTGTGGAAGATAATTTTCTTCCATCAGTTTTTAAATCTAATAAAAACCTTGCTGCCCTTCTTTATCAGCACTTCAGGCAGCCTACCATGCCTAACAACACTTAAAATGTCACTTTTTTCAATTTTTAATCCGTTTTTGCTCCGAAAATCTTTCAAATTCGTTCCTGGAAGAACTAGGTTGGATCTGTCTTTAAATGTTCATAACTTCCTGGCTCTTTTTCTACAAATGAAATCAGGAAATTGAATCAGACTTTCATCTGTTTTCCCTTTTAAATCCAGATGATAAGTAACTTCTCAGTTTTAGATTAGGATCTACTTTAAACACTTTGTAGATTTGTCTCTCACGCTCACTTTAAATTTGTCTTTTTGTGCAAGAATTGGTTTATTACAGCTGGATGCCGATATTATATTCTTTGTATAGCGTGATTTGATTTAATACTCGTTCGTGTTTTTATTATTTCCTGCTTTATTTGGATTGGAAATCACTTTCTTGATCTCTAGGGCCCCATGCTGGATTCAAATAATGGCAACACGTATTTTTCAAAGTTAAATTAAATACTAAAATAAAGAATATTTCTTTTAAATAACATCAATTGCACTATATATTACACACATGTAAAATAATTTTCAAATGACTAATAATTTGCTTGGAAACACAGAAAAAGTTAGGCTAGAGAGTCTCAAGCAAGATGTTATCGGAGGAAATTTTCAGAGAGAGAGACTGACGGTTTGCTGTGTTAAGAGGCTGGATGTCACAGATTAAACTAGTCATTTACCTTCAATTATGTTCAATAATTGTTAAATGACTAAAAAGTTAATATTAAACTTTTTAAAATAACGAATATATAAACTCTTGATATTTACAAAATAGTAAGGAATTTAAGCCCTAGAACCGATTAATGTATTACGACTGATACTTTGTTGGTTGTTCGTCAAAGGAAGTAAAACATGTTGAGGTTTGTCTGTAGTTCGTTGTTGTAAATTTTTTTCTAAACTAATTCGAAGATCCTTTTTTTTTTATGGAAGGCAAATTAATCTAAATTACGTTAACTGAGGTGTTCAAATCTATATATATATATATATATATATATATATATATATATATATATATATATATATATATATATATATATATATATATATATATATATATATATATATCCGTTATCTTTGTTCACCATCAGATTTATACTCTAACCAGTGTCTTTTTGTGGAATCCCTGAATTTTTTACTGAAGTTTTGTCAACCATCTATCAGATCCTCTTGATTTCTGTAAAAAAAATTTGTCAAACCTGTGATTCAGATTACCCTGTTTATTAGGATATTCTTGTTCTCTATTAAGGGCAATAATTTAAGCTGTATTCTTTTTTACTGGTCTTTTTTTGGCTTCTTTTCTGTATAAGGTTTACTGGCTGTTATTGTGGTAAGCATTTTAATACATAGGGGTAAGTTTACAGCTTTGTAATGATTTTTTTCACTTACAAGCCTTTCCTGTAATGGAACAGGGCAATTAGAATCAAGAGTAAATACAGAATCTTCCTTTATAAATTGTCATTCATTTCGTTTTAAGTCCTGTAACAGGTATGTTCTGTTATAGTGTCATGCAGTTAGGTCCCAAGATATTAGTCTAGTTCACTTCTGTTGCTTCAAATGATCCAGGGTCCCCATCAATGCCACACCTATCCTCAAATTGGAAAAATTTTTGTAAAGATATTTCTCTTTCTTTGATACAGGGTCAGGCTCCAGTGTACCGAGACTTCCACACAGCCACAGGAGTAGATGGAGTCATGTATGTGTGGGGTGGAAGAGAGGTAAAAAGTGGACTGTATGATTCTCCAGAACATGAGGAATATGGCTCGGACCTTTATGCCTTGGACACAACTGCAAGTCGTTGGAGTGTTGTACATTGCTCGGGTTGCCTTCCGATTGGTCGAAGATCTCATTCAGCTTGTGAGTATATAAATATGTATTGTACTGAGTTTTTCTTGAACCTGTTGTGAGACTGCATATGCAGGTTTTACAGGTATATAACCTTTGGTCACAATAAAAAAATACTTGAGTCTTGTCACCTGCTACTGGAAACAATAGAAATGTAGAAATTAAATTTGTCTTAAATTAAAGTGGGTAAACCCTTCATAACTCGGCACAAATGGGTCTCTGGCCTTGTCGAGTTATCCCAAATTCTGACTTATTGAGGCACGTTCCTCCTCCTATAAAAATACAACAATAAAAAATTATCGCTCCATATATATGTACAGTACAGTACATGTAATTACTAAGTGTAAAAAGGTAACACCAGCATTGCAGGTGAAGAATGAAGCATCATAGTTGGTGACAAAGATGCATGGTAGGTGACACAGAGGTATGGCAGGTGACTCAGTGGCATGGTAGGTGATGCAGGTGGCCAGATATTCCGAGATTTTCCCAGATAATTTTACATATCTCAGCATTTCCCGAGTTATACTAATACATTCTGAGACCATATCCATGCCAAGTTATATGAAATTCCGAGTTATCAAATGCCGAGTTATTGAGGGATTACTGTATACCGTATATGTGGTAGTATCAGATGGATGGATGAATGAAATTAAAAACTGGGTCCCCAAAGAGATATAAAACCTTTGAGGATTGGTAAACACACCCCAAGAACATTTAAGAGTGGAGAACTGGTCGCCAACCCTGATATATAAGGACGGTACTCTGATTGGTTGTTTGAGTATCAGAAGTTCAGAACTCCATGGCTCAGTTGTTATTGCGCTGGTCTTCCAACTCGGGGATGTGGGTTCATTCCCGTAACCAGTGTTGATGGGGCTTGATTCTTCAGTTGTGTGCTCAGTTAAACCACCAACCCTGAATTGAACAAGCTCTTCTTGCTCAAGGGATACCTTTCTCATAAGTTGTGGGAAGAATTGGAAAGAATATTAACGTTTAAATAAATATACTGTAGTACAGTATGTAAGTTTCTCACTGGCTAGATGCTGATATGATACAGTAACCCCTAAAAGTTTTAAGAGCATGTAAATATAAAGATAGGATAAAATGTATCTGTTAGAGCTTAGTGTTTTCCTGTCTAATTCAGACATAGATATAAAGAAGTAATACTCTTCAGTATAAGTTTAGTGTTTGATTAATTATACAAAGAATATAAATCATGGTGTTAGAGCAGAACATTTTAGCTCAATGAAAATCTTTATTTTTATTAATAATAATAATTTTCATTATGTCTCCTTAGATTTGTGTAACAAGACTTAAACATTTCAGTTGTGTACAGAGGACAAATCTACATATTTGGTGGTTTCAATGGTAGAGAAGAGTGTCATTTTAATGACCTACACAGATTTGATCCAAGTAAGTGTGATTTTGATGATAATGAGTGTTCATTGTATCTGTTCTCTGCAGTTTACATAATTACTCCTTTTGACACACACGCATGCACACATCATCATTTTCATCATCTTTTTATGGTACTTTTCCACACTTGTGTGGGTTAACCATGATTACCTAATTGCATGATATCTTGCAGCCTCACTCATCAGGTTCTTATATCTGAGGTCATTTCTTACATCCTCTTCCCATGTTCTTCTTGTCTTATCCTCCACATTCAGACTCATGCACTTCTTGACCCAGTTGGTCCTCTATTCTCTCCACATGCCTAAACCATCTTGCCCTACCTCTATTCAAAACCTTGCTATTCCTGTCATTACCCACCTACTCTCTTAGCTCTGAACAGGGCCTTCTGTCTTTCAATGTTACATTAGACATTCACCTCACCATTCTCATTTCAGCTCGCTCAAGCCTACTTACAGCGTCCTTTTTAACTCTCCATGTTTCAGTGCTATCCAACATCATACCTCTTTCCTTTCATGTGAAAAGAAGGTATATACTTACTCTGTTGATAAAGGCAGCAGCTCCCTAAACTTCTTCCAGCCACATCTGATTCTTGCGACTGAGCAAGCTACAGCACCTCCTTTAACATTGATCTTGTCACCTCTGTAACAGACTGCATTGACACAGTTCAGGGATATATCTGTAAAGTTGAGTTTTATACCCTTGCTAAGATCACATGATTTCTTGTATATACAGTGCACTTACAATTAGTAACATTTTGAATTGTGTCATTTACACCACTGCACGTCTCGTGTACTCACTTTCCACACTCGTTGCACATTATTGTGTTGCTGCCAACACCTTTCTTACAGACAGCACAAAAATAAATACAGTAACTGTGCTGTACAGTACTTGTTTTTATATTATTATTATTAGCCTTATCTATTATATTACTTAATTACAGTTATATACTGTATATTATATATTAGGTTTTTTTATAATGACCTTCAGTTAACCAGATATTTCAGTTATCTGAAGGGCTCTTGTCCTAAACCATTTGCTATTTTTAAAGCACAACCTGTACCAAACTCATGCATAAGATTGGCAGAGTTGTAAAAAGTACCAGACTTTGTTACTTAAGTAAAAGTATTGTTACATTGGCAAAATGTTACTCAAGTAGAAATAAAAAAGTATCTCATTCATAAAGTAATCAAGGAATGAAAGTAAAAAGTAACAACACTATTATTGTCTCAAATAAAAAAATAAATGCAGTAAATTATAAAAAAATAGTTAACTAAAGATAAAAATAAAAGACACATAGCATGACACATGCTCATATGGAAATATTTCTATTGAGCCAGTTGTAGGTAGTAGGTAGCTATAAAACAAGGAGGTACTACCGCCTGGGAAGTTATTGGAAGCATAATGTTTTGTCTAATGGTAGACCCTGCTGCCATATGGCATCACAAAAATTGTGACCAAGTCCAAGGTTGCTGATCTGTCTTTCTGCCTCTCTTACTCACAATTGCAGGGTCTCAATTGTCTCTCTTACTATCGACAACACAACATATATAACTTTTCTCACTAAAGATCTGTTTTATTCTTTCTGTTCTTTTATTCTCCTCTGAAATCACTTGACAATAATATTAAAGCAGGGCCTTCTCTGATGGGTCCCACTGGTCGGGATGGTTGTGGACCCCAGGGCCTACCTGATCATCATCAAACTGCTGGGGCCTTAACTGGCATCACCACGGTTGCTGGAGGATCGGCTTTTTTCTCACTTCATTTTTCCAACATTCGCGGCCTGAGATCCAATTTTTGTTCTGTGGAGCACCATCTATTAACCTCTTCCCCCGATCTCTTACTACTATCTGAACTTCAACTGACCAAAGCAACTTCACCCAAACCTTTTCAAGTCTCCAACTACAACCTCGATACATCTTTCCGTTCTAAGGGAGGTGTATGCTCCTACTTCAACATGCGTACACCTATAGCTCGACTCATGAATTTTGAATCTTCTCTTTATGATGTCATCTGGCTCAAAATATCTCTCTCAACTCTGACTATTTTTCTTTGTTTCCTATACTGTTCTCCCATCTCTACCAATTGTTTGGAACTCTTTGACTATCTCACGTCTTGCCATGAGTCGTTGCCAACCACACACCCCAACAGAGATCCTCTACAAAGGGGATTTCAATGTACATCACAGATAGTGGCTTGGCTCTGCGAGGGATGACCCTGGTGGGGTTGAAGCACTCATTCTCCTTACTTAATGATCTGGAACAAATAATTAAACACCTTACATGTGTTCCAGATCGACGTGATTAATTTACTAACATACTTGTTCTTTGTTTTACCTCTAACCCCTCACACTATTCATACTCAATTTCTTCCACCCTTAGGGTCTTCTGATCACAATATTATTTCTATTAAATCAAACTGGCATGACCACCTCCCCTACTCCCCTCTAAATGCCAACTATGGCACTATCTGAGGGCAAACTGGCAATCCTTGCGAGAATTCTCCGTCTTTCCCTGGGATGAATGTTGCTTTCCCACTCGGGATGCCTCGGTATATGCTGACAGCATTGCTGGGGTTATACTCGGTGGTATGAGTGCATTTATCCCATCTTCTACCAAAACTTTCATGTTGCAGTCATGGTTTGATCGCTCCTGTTATGTGCTGTTCTATATAGAGGATATCTTATAAAAAATATTTTTCCTTTGCAGATTTATACAGTTTATGTGCATCCAATTCTATTTCTTTTCTTTTGGTTTCAAAATATAGTTCCATCGTAATGGTCATTGGGGATGGGGTGCGAATACCATGGAAATCTCCCACGTTCCAATAACGAATCATAGATACAGGTTGACAATCCCTTATCCGAAATCCTTGGGGCCAGAGGCATTTCGGATTTCGGAATTTTTCGGTTTTCAGAATGGTTAGTTTTTTTTTTTTTTTATTAGCCCACCCGGGCACAAGTCACTGATCCACATTGGGGCCTAGGGGGTGAACATATAATAATAATAATAATTCATAGGTCTAGGTCGTGTTTCTCACTTTTTATCTTTTTTCATTCTTGTATTTCTTTATTATTATTTTATTAATACAGTATTATTGTTAATATTTATTATAAATTTTATTATTATATTTTATTATTATTATTGTTATCATTATTAATTTATTTTGGTGTATTTTTTAATTAAAATTTTTATTTACTATGAATAATTATTATTATTATAATTAGTATTACTATTACTATTACATTTTTGCTCCCTAGGCCCCGATGTGGGTCAGTGATCTATGCCTTGGTGGGCTAATCCCTGTAAAAAAAAAAAAAAAAATTGCTCCACAAAAAAACTTTCGGTTTTCGGAATTTTGGATAAAGGGTTGTCAACCGGTATATATATATTTTTTTTAGCCCAGAGCGCTTCTTGCAAACCAAACATGGGGCTACTACAGCATGGTATACACCACGGAGCTTCTTCCAATTGGCCCTAAGACTCACCGTGAACTGTCCCTCTAATTGGGGTGTGGCTGTGGTGACATCACTTTCCGACTCTAATTGATGAGTGGCTGAATTTTTTATATCGCGTTATGTCTCTGGGGGTGGGGGCAGGCAGTGGTACTTAGTTATTTAAGCAGAATTTTAAATGCCCTCAGTCTCACACATATGTATAGACACAGGCTTTATATCTAAGATGGAATTATGTAAAGCATTTTAGAGTCACAGCCTCTTTGAAATTCATTTTAGGTACGTACAGGTATATGCAAAGAGCAACCGACGTCTAACGGGAATTTCAAGCCCCTGAAGGAAAAGTGGGGGATTCGATGGGGGAGGGGGATAAGAGGGTAGGCTAGGTGAGGTGGGTGGTCAAGTTGCTAATGGACACATGAAGATCAAAGGGAAAGTCCACTGTCATGGCCACTGCCACCTGACCTGATGTCACCTCACCTCACAAGACCTCTAGGTATGTGACCGCGTGGTGTCTCCCCACACTGTATCCTTCATGGTTCCACCCACACAACCCCTTTCATTCTTTAACTATGGTTAATAATCAATTAATTTATTAAAAATATACATTATTAGTTTGCATGTAACAAGTAACAATTTTTGTTTTTTGAATTGTATTGGAGTAAAAGTATTAGAAAACCATACTTAAGTAAAAGTACAAATTTTTTTTTATTATTTTTAAAAAGTCAATACCCCAAAATGTTGTTTGAGTACAGTACTCAAGTAAATTTATTTGGTTACTTTACAACTCTGCTTGGCAGTACAGTATTCCACATCCTTGGTATAGTCTGTATTTTATGATTTTATATAATTGTAGATACAGTACAGGTACTTAAGATTATTAATAGTGATAAATGAAGTGTATGTGATCTGAATACAGGAAAAACATATAGAAATTTGATATTTATGTTTGTAGTTCTGTAAGGTTTTTAATGACAATACTTTACCTTAAAATTCATTATTTTATATTTTTAGTGACTCGTCATTGGGAAGAAGTTGAGCCACTGGGTAAAGGCCCGTGTCCCAGACGAAGACAATCCTGTTGTGTAGTTGGTTCAAAAATGTTCATGTTTGGTGGCACCAGGTAAGTGAAATCTTTTAGCCATATGTCCTCTCTAGTCCGGCATTCTGTGGTCCGGAAACTCCTGTGGTTCGGCACGATTTTAGTTTGTCCAATAGGTAGATAGGCAGCTTTTTTTTTTCTTTTTTTTTTTACTTATCTGCATTATTATTATTATTATTATTATTATTATCATTATTATTATTATTATTATTATTATTATTATTACAGGAGTATTAAATTTTTGCCCCTCAGGCCCCAATGTGGGTCAGTGACCTATGCCCGGGTGGGCTAATCCCCATAAAAAAACAACAACAAATCCGCGGGAAATTATGGTTTGTTTACATCCTGCAGTTCGGCTGCTCTCTCTCTCTCGCTCTGCTTGTCTATACAGATTAAAACATTTAACTCTTCAATATATATGAGCAGTAAATAAGTGTTGCTTTCATATTCTTATGTAGAGTAATGACGATGTGTTTTCACATGTGTGCACTTACATACGCGCAGTCTCACTTTTTATTCTTTACCATTAATGGTTAATTTATGACATAAATAACATTACTTCAAACAAGCATTTTAATTTTTTTACATTAATTTTACTACAGCTACAATCAGGGTCTTATTTTCTTCAGTTTTATATGTAGAACCAATCAGTCACTGGTTTTGTAAGCATTAACGAAAACAATGCCGGCAGCCGTCTCGTCTCCTCGTGTTAATATTCCACGTATTATTAATGAATTGTATTGTTCGTTTTGCAAACACAAACATTATTTCAATAAAAAAATTTCAGAAACATTAATTAAAATATATATGAACGGTAAATTAGTGTTGCTTTCATATTCTTATACAGCTACAACCAGGGTCTTATTTTCTTCAGTTTTATATGTAGAACCAGTCAGTCACTGGTTTTGTAATCAACGAAAAAAATGCTGTCTCATTTCCTTGTGTGTTTTAATATTCTACGTATTATTAATGAATTGTATTGCCCATTTTGCACACATAAACATTAATTCAATCAAAAAGACATTCAGTAATAAACAATAATGAATCTTTTGTACATAAGAGAAATGACGCTGTTTACATGATTGTGTATATCGTCTGAACGTTGGTGGGCCGTTCAAACACGTTGAAATTCGAGTTTCCGCCGTCAAAATTTTAAATTGTTTTGTTTTTGTGTTCAAATAAAAAACTTTGAATTAAAAACTCGCGAAATTTGAGAAGCTACTGTACGACATTTAACCCTTCAATATGTCTTCAAAGAGACCATAAAGCAGAGAAAGTGGTGCTAGTGCTTCCAAGCATAAGCACAAGTCACTATCTATCCAGGAAAAGGGTGAATTTCCATGGTCCGGAAATTTCCATGGTCCGGCACCGGTCAGGTCCTGAGGTTTTCGGACTAGAGAGGTACAACCTGTACTATTCTTGTGTGTGTGTAATCACTTGATATGCAATGTAGTTGAGAGAAACTGCACTGTGCATTTTAATGTTGTCAGGCAGCCTGCCTCATTGGCCAGAGAGTGGGTTAATTTTGAACTTTTGCACTGAATATAATCCATAGAATGGAGTCTTAATAGGGATTTTGGAATCAATTTTATTTTGCAGCCCCAAGGACAATGTTGAAGAAGTTACCGCTCTGGAAGATGATGTATATGGTGAGGAACTTACAGATCGACGTCTCAAAGATCATAATGATCTACATGTACTAGACTTTGGTGAGCATTAGTTTTGACATTTATCCTTTACCTTTTGGTGAGCAGTTTTATATTATTTTTGTGTTAGTCGTATACCTTTTGCTTTGTTTTCATGCTCATCCAGGACTGGCTTCTTTGTAGCCCGTTATTTCATTGAAATTTTTATAACAAAGGTGTAACATGAAACATTTTTTTAAAGTACACTACTGTAGTATTATTTCATGAATTTGGATATTCATTTTATAGTATGACCTTAACTGAATCATAGCACACTTATTACTTAGGAAGTTTGATAGGCAGACAAGTGTACTGGACTAGTTTTTTGTGAGCAGCACAGTATTGGTTTTCTTTACCCTTTCCTGTCATATTCTTCTTGTGTTTTGCTCCATCTCTCTCCCTAATTCTTCTTTTCCTTTCTCTACCACCAGAACCTAGACCCACCCCTCACAACAGTGGAAGAGGAGTAAAGATGATAGACAGATTGTTTGAATTATAAATATACTTGTATATAAACTGGTGTACAAGACATTTCTTGAAACTTAAAAAATTACTCCCAAACTAGGAGCCATCTTATGTGCCAAGTATAAAATGTGAACCTTAAGTCATGCATAGTACTGTACTGTACTGAAGTTTATCACAACGGGTGACATAAATTGAGGACAAAGATTTATTTTATTTAATGAATGCTACATGTTGGCAGGCAGACGAGAGCGTTGCTTACAGTTTATACAAAATATAAAGAATATAACTGTGATACTAATATTATTAATGAATTGTATGACACCAACTTTGTGTACAGTATAGTACTGTGGATATGTAGTACACATTGTTCTCTCCTTATAAGACTTATTTGGGGATATTTTAGATGGCAGGAAAAATTTAGAAGTAATATATAGACCTCCTAATCTTGTTATGGTTAATGAGCAACTTATTGGGATGAAATGGATAAATAATTATTTAAAGAATATTACAGGACAAAGGGAGGCTATAGGTAGAAGAATAAATCGTGGTGAAGTTTACTTCCAAGATCATTATAAAGTATTAACCAGTAGGGTTAAAACTGAGATAAGAAAAACAAAGAGGCATAATGAACTGAAGGTAGCAAAGGAGGCAAAGTCAAACCCCAAGGGATTCTTCCAAATGTATCAAACTAAAACACGAGACAAGATTGGACCAATACACGTACAGTCAAATACCGGTGAGCTAACTGATAATGACGGAGAAATGAGCAATAATCTGAACAGATATTCTTCAACATTTTTCACCACCGAGAATTTAAACATGATAACCTGAGGCACTGACTAAATACAGAGATACTGTAGCGAAGAAAATAGATTAAGCGAGATAGTAGTGACTAGCACTGTAATGATATTAGTAAATAGGCAAACTAAAGCCTAATAATTCACCAGGTTCTAATGAGATATTTGCCAGAGTATTAAAGGAATGTAAGGAAGAACTTAGTATGCCCTAAGCAAATTTGTTTAGCATGTCATTAAGAACGGGTGTAGTGCCAGAATCCTGGATAGCGAATGTGATACCGATTTTCAAGAAAGGAGATAGATCACTATCCTCTAACTACTGTCCAGTCAGTTTGACATCAATTGTAGGCAAACTGGTGGAAACAATAATTTCAAGCTCTATTTGAAATCACCTGGAGAAGCACAAGTTGATTAACGATTCCCAACATGGTTTCACAAGTGGGTATTCATGTCTGACAAATCTATTAACATTCTTTTCAACTGTTTTCGAATCACTGGATGACAAACACAATTATGATGTGGTATACCTCAACTCTAGCAAAGCCCTTAACAGAGTCCCCCACGAAAGACTAATATGAAAAGAGGAGGCTCTTGGAATTAGAGGAGATATTCTAAAATGGATTAGGGCGTGGTTACAGGATAGGAAACAGAGTAAGCATTAACGGCACTAAATCTGATTGGGGTAACGTCACTACTGGAGTACCCCAAGGCTCAGTACTTGGACCATTACTATTTATAATATACATAAACAACATAGATGTAGGCATAGACAGCAACATAAGTAAATTTGCTGACGACACCAAAATAGGGCGTGTAATTAAATCTGACGAGGGCTCCGCAAAACTACAGGAAGATCTTAAATTTTTTTTTCGCATGGTCTGAAAAATGGCAGATGAAATTTAATATGGACGAATTTAAAGTACGTAGTCTAGGAGATATAAACAGAGAAACCAGATATCAGATGAACTATATTGTTATTGAGAAATCCGACTGTGAGGAAGATTTAGGAATAATGATAAGTAGGAATCTTAAACCAAGACTACAATGCATTTTTACTGGAAACAAGGCTAACAAAATACTTGGGTTCATACAAAGGAGTGTTAGCCACAAGACTAGTGAGGTTATCCTAAAACTATATTTTGTTTTTGTGAGACCTCACTTGGATTATGCAATTCAGTTTTGGTCACCGTACTACAGAATGGATATAGAATCCATAGAAAGCATTCAGAGGAGGATGACAAAACTAATCCCAAGCATTAGGAACTTTGAGTACCGACACAGGTTAAAGCATCTTAATTTGCACTCCCTTGAGAGACGTTAAGTGTGAGGCGATATGATCGAGGTGTATAAATGGAAGTCGGGGTTAAACAAAGGTACTCGAACTATCCAACCAGGAGCAAACTCGTAGCAATGGTTTTAAATTAGACAAATTTAGATTTAGGCATGAGATAGTAAACACTGGTTTGGAAATAGAGTAGTGTATGAGTGAAACAAGTTACCGAACTTCATCATTAACTTGAACACGTGGGGTAGCTTCAAATAAAGGTTGGACAGATATATGAGCGATAGGGGTTGTGTGTATACGGGGTTGCCTGGTATGGGCCAATAGACCCATTGCAGTTTCCTCCATTCTTATGTTCTTAAGATCTGGAGTATTTACACATCTTGTGAGGCCTAAGCATGTCTTGGTATGTTTGTATGTGTGGGTGGTGCTGGCAGGCCGAAGAAACGTACACTTATCTGTCAGTTGGCTTAATGCAAGTTTTCTTTCTTAAAACATTTTTATTATAACATGTTGTAGGACAACACTTAATTATCAAAGTTAAAAGCAAGTAAACAGCTGATACTGACAGATTTGAGGCTGTAGATGTCAGCTGATATGTTGCACCTGGCAGTGTAGCAGCCAAAGAAACTGGTACACTTCCTCCACCTCTGTTATCATCTCACTCACCACCACCACCACCTCTCTCATTATTAAAGACTGGCTATTTATTACACATATACCCCTCCTCTGTAATTGTTTAAATATTTTTTTAATGTAACATGGTGCTGTTGAACTACTTTTTTTTATCATAGGTAAAAGTTAAATTGTTGATAACAATTACTCTTTCTTTTCACCCAAAAGCTAATGAAAAGTATATATTACACTGTAATGAAAGGAGCTAAAATATAGAGGTAGCAGGAGCCAAAGATTGGTGTAAACAGCTGTTGTGAGGATTCATAGATAACTAGCATCATTAGGGGTAGTCACTTGTGTTTACAATACAGCATAATGATTCCATTACCTGCAGATAATAGACAATACTTGTATCTTGCCTACAAGGTTAAACTGCATTGGTCACCTATGGTAACAACCAACACCATATGACTTAAGTTTCATATTTTATAATTGTATTATATGGTGGGTATAGCTTAACATTTAAATTTTTTATTGAAAATTTGGAGTTATCTTATACGTCAAGTGCCATATATACCAGTACACTGTATACGGTATATCCACATATTTGATAATGAGTGTAAAAGTGACTATGTATCAATTTGTACATTTATGATCTTCCCTAACAGAACCAAGCCTCAAGACTTTATGCCTAATCCAAGTACAGACTCTGAAGCTTGACACTACTTGGCTACCCCGTGAGCTCCAGGCTCTGCTAGAAGTCATGAGCATGCCCAACACAATTACTCGACCTCTCAATCATACTGGCTAAGTCTTCACAAATTTTATTGGTATTAGCGTGATGCATACTTGGGTTATCAACTGCTTATCTAAACAATTATGTGCTGTTTGAGCAGTCTGGTGGCTAGGCTTGTACAACTATGTTAAGTTCTATACTGTAGTCAGATGGTGCAACCCATCAGATTACTAGATACATGTTGAAGGTTTGTGATGATATACCAGAATTTTAGTCTCTTCTCCCTAACCTAATGCAGTGTCAGCAAGCAACTACTAGAATATATTTTTGTGATGTAAATTATTATTAGAGGTTTTAGCTTTGTGATACTGTACTATATCAAAATGTATTGATGATTATGAAGTAGGCAAACTGTGATGCTTGCATATGAAAGCAACCTATTTCTACTGCAGGTTTTTAATCCCAAAGAATTTAAGGAATATTTCAGTCCAGTCTGTCTATCTCTCCGTCCCTCTGATGAAACTTTTGAAAATTCATTATTTTCCACTGATGTACAGGTATTTAAACATATAAATTGATTTAGCTCATAAAATCTTAAACTAGTTTTTACATCTTCAAATTAAGTCTCTTATTATTACTCAATCATTACATGTTACTCATGTTGGTAAAATGTCATAATCACGTTGCACAAGTTATTGTAGTGGGAGGGAGTGCAAAGGTAGAGTCAATACAGTGCTCACCCTGTGTGAAGGTTTACACCTGTGTGAAGGCAGTTCAGTGCACTACTGGCTACACCTCCTTGTGTATCAAAGGCTTAGTATATATTGTACTGAATCTACAGTGCCCCTCATTGGCCATCAGGATTTTCTTGATAAAAACATGTGCACACACATACATACACACACACATACATACATTTTCTTAATAGGATACAGGTTGTGGTGGTCACCATAAACTAATTTTACTTTTGAAAAGCTAGATTTTCCTCAGTAGTGTGGGCACCCCTTGATTTATAAAAGGGTTGCAATCCTGTAAGAGCATTCATATACAGTACAGTACAGTACAGTATCAGAATTTCAGAAAGAAAAAAAAAAACACACACACACACACACACACACACACACACACACACAGCTACTCCTCGGTTTACGACCTACTTGACTTACGACCACCCGGACATACAACCGCCCCAGTCGTACCAAAATTTTTTCAAATTACGTATTTTCGAGTTCTGGCATTAGTGATTGCGCTGTGGACTGACAAAATTTTCGTTTGTATTTCCCTTTAAAGTGGCTAGCAAGCTTAAAAGTGAGAGTTTTGTGGTGCTGAGAAGAAAAAGAGACACCCATTTTAGATTTTGTATGTATTATCTTCACATTTTTTACTTCCGACCAATTCGACTTAGGACCTGAATTTGGGTCCCTAACTCCGTCGTAAGTCGAGGAGTGGATGTGTGTGTGTGTGTGTGTGTGTGTGTGTGTGTATATATATATATATATATATATATATATATATATATATATATATATATATATATATATATATATATATATATATATATATATATATATATATATATATATATATATATATATATATATATATATATATATATATATATATATATATATATATATATATATATATATATATATATATATATATATATAACCCCCTCACTACAGGGTCAGCACTTTTTATTTTTTTATTTGGCAAACACCAGACGAGTTTATTCAGTAGAGAGGAGACCCCGTACACAAGTGGCTAGTAAACTGCAGTAGACTCTCGCCAACCATGGATTTTCCATGCTTAGTTTCCGGGTATCCAAGGTTTTTACTCTATACTGTACCATTTCACCAACCATGACATTGAATTTTGAGTTTCAGCAGATTAGTATGGTGTCTTTACCCCTCTGCGGTCTAATAGATTCCCTCAATAAGTGTGGGAAATAAATAGAAATAATACTCATAAATGAAAGAAAAGAAAAAGTACTGCATATCCATTTGGCAATCGTTTCACTCAGGATATGGGAGACAGGAGCACGCTCACTCTCCTCCCCCTCCCATGATTGTGGGCTAACTCCAGCAGATGTAAATGTTTATTCTATTTAAGTTTTTGACCCTATAATAATAATTTTTTATTTATTTATTTACATTTTTTGCACAAATCTGTATGGGCAATTCTGTCTGCATGTAACAGTAAAAGAATAAAAATAAAATAAAATTACGTATATCTACCCGAAACTGAGTTGAAAAAGAACAATAACGCAGCTCACAGCTCTGATTGGTAGGGAGCAGCCGAAATCCCCAACACCACACCTCCCTCCTGCTCCCCCTTCCCCTCCCACTATCTGACACTAACTCCCATGGACATAAGAAATGATTATTCTCTATGTTTTTGACCTTATGATAATCATTTCATTAATTTATTTTTATACACACACACACTACTACTACTACTGTACTGTACTTTGCTATCACTCGGAATCGAATACAGTAGAACGTCGATATAACACGAGATACGTTCTAAGAGAGGTCGCTTTAAACCGAATTTGCACTAAATCGAAGTGTTCTTTCAATAGAATAATTTGGTTTGGTACTTGAGAGAAACAGAAAATACTAAAAAGATTGAAAGTCTACCCAGATGCACCTCAGCCCATCTAGAATAAACAAAACATTGATTTTTGCAGTACAGCTCCTCCCCGACTTACGACGTACTCGACCTACGACTACCCGGACATACGACCGCCTCAGTCGTACCAAAATTTTGTCAAATTACATATTTTCGAGTCCCAACGTCAGTGATTGCGCTGTGTACTGCCAAAATTTTTGTTTGTAATTCACTTTAAAATGGCTGGCAAGCTTAAAAGTGAGAGTTTTGTGGTGCTGAGAAGAAAAAGAGACACCCATTTTAGATTTTCTATGTAATATTTAAGCATTTTCAACTTACGACCTGGATTTGGGTCCCTGCCGTTGTAAGTCGGGGAGGAGCTGTATTATGTTAAAACAAACACTCATAAATCAACACAGCTAAAATTAAGGGACGTGAAATGGTCTGTTTACCAGCGATCATCTGATGGGAAGGGGGGGGGGTGAGGTGATATGTTTGACAGTTGATGCCAAGGTCTAGTGCTTATTTATTTATCTGTCCTTAAGAGTGTCTTTAAGTTTTTCTCTTATAAAATGTCACTGAACTGACATGAGAATACAATTAACATTGCTGGAATTCTTATAAGATAGTGATTAGTTTGAATATATACATGCTGTAGCTCGCATTAGACATACAAATTTTAGTTCTAATTAATTTTATTACAAAGGGCTAAAAATTTTATCTCTTGTGCAAAATAAATGATGTTTATATTCAAATTATTCGCGGTCTTGCAAGGATTACAGCAATGCAAATTATATTCTCTTAACTTTAGTCTGTAATATTAAATAAGATAAAAACTTAAAGCCTTTAACCACCAAACCCTGGCTGGGAGGGAGGGAGGAAGGGGATGTGACAGTGACATGTTTGACAGTTGGCGCCAAGGTCTAGTGAAGTATTCATTTGTTTATTTATGTCCTGTAATGTGATACAGGTGATTAATTTTTATCTCGTGCAAAATATATGACCTTTATATTAAAATTATTCGCTGTCTTACAAGGATTCCAGCAATGCAAATTAAATTCTCTCAACTTTAGTCTGTGATATTATATAAGATAAAATCTTTAAGCCTAAAACCCTGACTGGGCAGATGGGGGAGGGAGGGGGAGGTGAGGTGATATGTTTGAAAGTTGGCGACGTAGGTCTAATGTGTGTGTATTTATCAGTCCTTAAGAGTGACTAAGTTTTTCTCTTATAAAATGCCACTGAAACGACCTGGGAGAATATAATTTACATTGCTGGGATTCTTGTAAGATACTGTATATCTTGGCCTATAAGACGGAATTTGAACCTTAAGAAAATCAGCCCAAAATTAGGGGTCGTCTTAAGTACCGGGTATAAAATTCTTACCTCTTAAATATTGTGGTTTAGCGTGTCAAGAGTGGTGATGGAAAGCATTGTAAACCACTCACAAGGTCCTACCACTAATTATTTTATAAAGAAACTTGCATTTGGGAAGCTGGATTAAAAATAAGATTACCGGTATATTAAAATAATGGAAATGTATAATAAACTTGTCTAACATACCGTAAAAGAACAGTATACCCCGGTAATAAATACAGCTATCATCACGCACCTCCCCGCCATTTGCCAGTGACGAGACAAAAAAGGGAAAGTGACCTCTGTAAGAGGGGTGAGATAGGGCTATTTTTAGCCAGTCTTTGTGTCCGAGGTGGTCAGTAATGCATATCGGTATATTTACTGATCATAATACTTATCTCCTATAAATAATTCATCTAAAATAAATTTTTTTACAAATAATATTCATTAAATGACTGCGTTAATTCTTGAAACTACCGACAGTGGTAAATTTAGGATGAGAATGATGAAGACGAAGTCAGGTCATCGGATTCGGAGTTTGATCCTTATGATCACCATAAAAGTATCAGGTCAACTTCACCTACCAGGTATAATGGAAGCCTCCCTTTGTTGCAAAACAAGTTTATAAATTAAAGAAAATACTTGCACTGTGTTTAAATATTACAGTATATTATAAATAAATAAATAAACAAATAAATCAGTAAATCTATTTCAAGTAAATGGAAAAATTTTACTCGACACCGACATTAGTTCCAGTTAAATAACAGACGCTTAAGTGAGTCACTAGTGTTTACACTACTGTACACCAGCCGGTAAAATTTGATGCCAATACTTGAAGTGAATTGGCCTTATTTTAAATAACCAACCATAAATAAATGCTAAAATGAAAAAAAGATCAAAAGTGAGAAACAATATACTGTATGTATGTTGTGTTGTCAAAGGAAGAGAAACAATTGAAACTCTGCAATTGTGTGTAAATGAGGTAGAATGATAGATCAGCAACCTACCGTATATCACGGCCTATAAGGCGGCGGGGTGCATAAGACGCCCCCCCCAAATTTCCATTTAAAAAGTAGCTTTTGAGCTCTATTTGCTGTATAAGACCAGTACCCCAAATGTGACACTTACCCACTGACTCAGTAGTCCTTTACCAACCATCCTTGATTTTTTAAAATAAGGCCAATTCACTTCAAGTAATGTCATCAAATTATACCCGCTGGTGTAGTGTAAACACTAGTGACGTCACTGAAGCGTCTGCTATTTACCGATAACTGGAACTAATGTCGGTATCGAGTAAAATTTTTCCATTTACTTGAAATGGATTTACTGATTTATTTGTTTATTTATTTATTTATTTATAATATACTGTAACATATTAAACACACTGCAAGTATTTTCTTTCATTTATACGCTTGCTTCACACGAGACGATCGGTGGTGGGAGTGTTCCCTCGTCTCGGTGGTGTGGCTGTGTTCCGACTATTTATACAACATGTGGTTCAACAGCAACCACCGTATTCTAATTGTGGTGTTTCATTAGGATTTGAGTGAAAAAGGTTACCAGTATGTACTTACTACATACATTTATTACACAAATATATATATATATATATATATATATATATATATATATATATATATATATATATATATATATATATATATATATATATATATATATATATATATATATATATATATATATATATATATATATATATATATATATATATATATATATATATATATATATATATATATATATATACTGAATATACTATGTACAAAAAATGAATGTTCAATGAATTATTTATGGTGCATTAGGGTACTGGCCACTTCAGACGAGCTATAAATAGCCTTATCTCCCCTCCATCTCACCCTGAGCCAGAGGGAAGCGTCTTGGTAAATAACATGTTTGCTTATTTTCCATTTACTTGAAATAGATTTACCGAATTGCAGTTTCAATTGTTCCTCTTACTTTGACAACACAACATACATACAGTATATTATTTCTCAGTTTTGATCTTTTTTTTTAATTTTTGTATTTATTTATAGTTAGTTACTTAAAATAAGGCCAATTCACTTCAAGTAATGGCATCAAATATTACCAGCTGGTGTAGTGTAAACACTAGTGACGTCACTTGAGCGTCTGTAATTAACCGTC